AAGTTCAGATATTTCAAAATGGACATATCTTACTGTATGTGTCATGTATTAACCTTCTCTTTCCTAAGGTTATAGCAAGTTCCTGTTAAAGGTTCAAGTACATTAGGTATGTGTCAATATAATTATATTGTTCTCTGTTCTAGTGTGGGCAGCAATGTAGTGCCGCCTCCACGTGACACTGCCTGGGATCACTAGTGGTTACTACTGCTAGTGATGCTAAGAGCACTACATACAAGAAGAATAGATACTAACAGTAACTATGTATGATGAATTACATTCCATTGTTAGGTTAATGACATTAAGAGGATAAGTTCAATTCTCTGCTATTGAAGACTACATTGAGAAGTATTCTAAGTATAGTATTGTTAAATATGTTGTCATTGCTATAGGTTAATTGTTTGCTGTTTGAAGCTGTACATTAACTGAAGACTATAAAGAATTACTTACCATTATTATTTATAATTTTAGCATATTTGTTTAATACACAAAGTTGTCTTTTTATCATTGATTATTATGAATTTTGATTAATATTATTGCGAGAGCCATTAATGCAGAAACAGGTGCAATGACTTATAAACAGAAATGAGATTAAATAATGAAAAATGACAATAAAATAAGAAACACACTTCAGTCATACATGTAGAGTACAAGTCAACAATGATTTTAATTAATTAAACCAGTCTTATAGTGTTACAGTCCTTAGTTCCTAAACCCAGTCTATATATAGATCTTCAGTATATGAATGAGAGATCAGTCCTTGAGATGATGAGTTCAGCCTCAGGTCCACAACCTATAATAAATAATAAGAAATGATTAATTATTGATAATACAGACATTAAGCTAATTCTAACAAAGAAATTACTTTTGAAATATGCAGCAATTTTTAAAATAGTGAATTTTCCGAAAAAAGCAAAAGCTAAAACCACATGGTTTTTTCCAAAAAATGGCTCAAAAACCACCTCAAAATTTTACTACATTTTCTGATACATATTGATGTCCTTATACTGTGTAGAAAGTTTGAGCTGATTTCGACTTAAATTTTTCAAGGTACGGCCATTTTAAAAAATATGCCAAATTCTGAAAAAATCCCTGTACTATAGCCCATGGTTTTTCCAAAAAATGGCTCAAAAATCTCCCTCAATTCTTATTAAATTTTCTGATACATATTGATGTACTTATGGTATGTAGAAAGTTTGAGTTGAATCCAAATTAAATTTTTCAAGTTACAGTCATTAAAAAAAATATGCCAAATTCTGAAAAAATTCCTGTACTATTATAGCCCATGGTTTTTTCCGAAAAATGGCTCAAAAATCACCACCAATTCTTATTAAATTTTCTGATACATATTGATGTACTTATGCTACGTACAGAGTTGGAGCTGATTCCAAATTAAATTTTTCAAGTTATGACCATTTAAAAAATATGCCAATTTCTGAAAAAATCCCTGTACATGTACATGTACAGGGATTTTTACATTAATTTTTTTGGCATTTTGCAATCAAAATTTTCAATAGTGAAATGTTTAGTAATACATGCGTGGACAAATTTGCCAATTAAAAGCTGGTCTAATGTATTTTTCAAGCAAAACCATCAAAATAAAGTACCACTAAATCACACGACAGTCACATGATTTCAATTACCTGATTGAGTGACTCCAGAGTGAAGTACATGGCAGAGCAGGAGGTGGAGAGAGGCAGGTATTGCTGGGAGACTCTGTCAACTTCAGCCATTACAGTATCAGTCTCCTCCATCTTCCTCTGAACTTCTGCAGCCTCTTCCTTAAGAGTCTCAAGCTCAGTAATGATTCTAAAAATAGACACAACAAAGATTACATCATGTAATAGTTGTTACTATATTTAGATGTATTGTTACTATTATTAGTGATGATTCTAAAAATAAACACATTACTGATTACATCATGTAATAGTTGTTACTATATTTAGATGTGTTGTTACTATAATTAGAAGTTACTACATGTATAATTAGAATTGGGGATACCTGTTGTTGTCTAGGATAGGACAGGGTTCAGGATTGGGTCATAGCTCTCAACGTCCTAGAGGGACTGAGTATGAAATAATGAGAGTGTTTCCTGACAGGGTTCTCAGGTCTAAAATAATCCGAAAACATTTCCACGCTAGCTGTTAGAAAAAATTCAGAAAAAATTCTAAAAATAAAAATAAAATAATTCAAAAATATTTCCATGATCTCGTAAAAAATCAGAAAAAATTCCAAAAATAAAACAAAAATAATCCAAAAATATTATAACACTCATAATAAAAAATTCAAAAAATTACAAAAAATATAAAAATATTCTTAGGCTGTCGAAAAAAAATCAGAAAAAATTCAAAAAATAATATAAAAATAATCTGAAAATATTTCCACACTCATGATTAAAAAATCCAAAAAAACTCCAAAAATTAAATTTAAGAAAGCTAAAAATATTACCACACTCTCTAAAAAAATCAGAAAAATTTTCAAAAACAAAAATAAAATAATCCAAAAATATTCCCATGCTGCCGAAAAAATCAGAAAAAATTCAAAAAATATAATAAAACTATTCTGAAAATATTTCTATGCTCGGAAAAAAATCATAAAAAATTCTAAAAATTAAATAAAGAAAATCCGAATAAATTCCCACACTCCTGAAAAATTTTTAAAATTCCAAAAATAAAATAAAAAAATTCGAAAATATTCCCACACTCATGAGAAAAAATACAAAAAATTCCAAAAATTAAATTAAAAGAAACCAAAAATATTCCCACGCTCTTTGAAAAAATAAGAAAAAATTAACTCAAACTTTATACTCAACATAAGGATAAGTACGTGTATATGCATCAGAAAATATTACAAAAACTGAGAATTCTCTACTTTTTTAATTTTGGCAAAATTTAGCTAACGCCCCTGTACTATAGTACAGGGACTTTGACTCGATTTTTGAGCAACTTTAAAAATTCATTAATAAATCAAATTTAATCGGAATCAGTTCAAACTTTCTACAAAACACAAGAAAATGTATATGTATCACTAAATTCCATATACACAATTAAAATCAGACTTTAACTAAAACACTCCTCTCTCTCTCTCTTACCTGAGCAATGGCCCACTTCACCAAAGGCCCACAGCCTTACTAGCGTGATATAAAGTTCTCCTTCATTATAATCTGTCTGATACTCTTCCAGTCAGTGTAAGGTTCTCCCATTAGCATGCAGATGCTTTCCAGTGCCATCTTGATGAACTGATGGGGTTGTTCAGAGCCCTCATTTCAACCAGGTGGGATTTCTTAATTTCCTTCACAGCTGCAATTAATTATTTAATTACATTATTAAATTACAATGATTTGTAATTATCATCAACACAAACGTGTACAAATGATGCAGTTACACAGCATGATTACAATAGCCAGTTATAACATTGTACAAACAAACATCTACCACTCCCCAAACTAGAGGCATTCAATGCCCACCACAACATATTCAAACAATAAA